GAGGAACATTTACTTGCAGGAAGCAAAGAGGACTTAAAATACTGATGGACTGTTTTCAGTATAGATTGTACCTTAATGTAAAGAAAACAAAATCCTCACAACTGGACCAATAAATAACATCGTGATAAATGCAGAAGAGATTGAAATTGTTAGACTTCATTTTGCTGGGAATCACAATTGACACTCATGGAAGCAGCAGTCAAGAAATCAACTGACTTACTGTATTAGACAAATCTGCAGCACAATACCTCTAAAGACTGTTAAAGAGCAATGATATCAGTTTGAGAACAAGGGTGTGCCTGACCTAAGCCACAGTACTTGTGACAGCCTCATATGCATGTGAAAGTTGGACAACGAATAAGGAAGACCATAGAGGAATCAATGCAGTAGAGTAGAGTTGCGGTGCTAGAGAAGAATGCTAAAGTACCATGGAGTGCCAGAAGAACAAATAAATATGTCTTAGAAGATGTATAGACAGAATGCTTCTTTAGAAGCCAGGATGGTGACACTTTAAGACTCTCAGACTTAGGATTTACTGTCGCTGGAAAAGGACATCATGCATGGTAAAGCAGAGGGTCAGCAGATGAGACGGAATGATACAGTGGCAACAGCAATGTGCTCAAACGTAATAGCAATGGCAAGAACGGCGAAGGACCAGGCGGGTGTTTCATTCTGTTGTGCTGACTCAACAGCAACCAACAACAACAAAGAACACCCAGACATCCATGTATCTATATTCGTCCATTAGTTTAGAATTTACTAGAAGTCCACTGTGTATAATGTGCTATCTGCTAGTTTTCAACATAATTTTTTAACTTTGATAAAGTATCACTTAATTCCAACATGTTTTCCTGAACACTTCATTCTAAAACAAAGGGGTAAATGACAATGTAGGATAACCACAGACATTGTATATGAGGAAGATATTGGTCAGAGAGAACGTATTTTTGCTTCTGCATGAATAAAAAATCTAGTTAAGCAATTTACCCACAGATGCTTGATTTCTAAGACAAATATGTTATTTAAAATGACACTACATGATAGAAGATTGTAGAATTTTTAAGAAGAAATAATACTTGGGGTAAAGATGAGACAAATTCTTCGTTCTCCCTTTACTTTCTTAGCTCAAGGCAATAAGGTGCTGTTTTTGACACCAAAATTTACAAATGCCAAAATGTCTCATGATTGAAAATTCTTGAGTAGAGATGAATTAAACTGAGCAACAGAATTTGAAGGGGAATGAAACAAGAAGAAATACATGGGTGGAATTTTTCACTGTATTGAATCATAAAATAACCAGTATAGTGGTTAAAGGTGTGGATTTTGCAGTTTTCAATGCAATCCCACCATTTAGTTCTACAACCGATGAAAACTTATTTAATTTTTTAAGTTTGTTTATTCATCTGTGAAATATAGGTATTAATACTTCCCTGAATTGGTGTTTTCTATATTAAATAACATAATATACACTAGAGATCCTTGGCACACAATAACTGCTTACTAAAGAAGAATTATGATTTGCTTTTTTATTATTAGTTCCTCTTCTGATTTCCTTTCTTCTCAAATGAACTGAGAATTTTAAACAGAAAAATTTCTAATTTGATACTTATAAACATATACTTAGTAATATCTTTGATTCTGATCTTTATTGGCTGTGTGTTTTATCTAAATGAATGAACCTCAATAATATTCACAGAAGATCCACCAAGTGTTTAAGGTAATTATACTAGCAGGAAAAATTGTCAGCTTGGGCTAAAAGGGGCAAAGACAATACAAAAGGAAAAGAGGCCTTTGAATCTCCACAGAAGGATGCAGGCTAAGACAAACACACAGATGCCAACACAACTCTCAAGGAAAAGGATGATTCAGAGGGTGAAACTAAGAGCCTAGAGGGAAGAAGCAAGAACTACAGAGAATCATTCCTAAGAAGCAGTAATCCTCAGCAAGACTCCCAAACATTTGCCCTGATGAGTTTCAGAATTTCTGAGTCAGTTAACTCTTTGGAGCAGTTACCCTATATCTGTGTTCCACATGTGTGCTGTTTACTTCACAGTCTAAAGATAGGGAGGAAACATATTTGAGGAGTGGTAGTTATGGAAATCTTCAATCCATGGGAGAAAGATGAGGCGGTCTGCCTTGAAAACCTCATGGCTTCTTGGCCTAGTTCTACTCTGTTCTAGAGGGTCACTGTGAGTCTGACTCAACTTGACAGCAGCGGGTTTGTTTGGTTGCGTCCTAAGATATGACAGAAAGACAAAACTGATGCATTGTTATGGACTGAACTATGTTCCCCCAAAAGTTATGCTGAAAAACAAGGATTTTCTTCACATATGTTAATGAGGCCATAGAGGAGCTGGGTGGGTACTAAACCTGCTAATTCCTTTTGAGTGGTTTCTTATAAAAAGAACTACAGACACAGAGACAAACACACAGACGGACATTTCAGGCAACAACAAGAGGCAGATGCATTTATGAGCAGCAAAGGAAAGCCAAGGATTGCCAGAAATCCCCAGAAGCTAGAACAGAGGCCGGCAGGAGAAACTGACACAGCTGTGACCCTGTTTTGGACTTTGAACTCTTAGAACTATGAGAAAAAAAAGTTGTTCTTTAAAGCCAGCCATTTGTGGTGGTACTGCTACAGCAACGCTAAGAAACTAAGACATAGACTTCTACTAAATGTTTCACAAACAAGATTTCCAATTCACTAGCAAAGATCAAGGAAAAAGATTACCCAAGAATTGGGCAGAAAATAATCACTCTTGCTTAAGTGAATGGGGAAATGACAGTCTAAGTTCTACCAGGCAGAAATAATATTGCTATCTTTATGTCAATTTACACACGGAACTCCATAAGAGTAAAACAAATAAGCTACTTACAGTTATGCTGTCCTTAGTCTAATGGGAAAATCATAAAATGAAAACTGTGGTACGGAAACTTAGTGTTATTTCAACTTTAGTTAGGGTTGAATGAGTCCACTTTGGGAGCATTTCCTAAACTAAGCTCTGTACTTATCAATCTTAAAGAATCAAACTTCATACCAGTCTGCCATTTAATTTTCACACATTGGGTTGCTAATTCCAAGGTCAGTAGTTGAAATCCAGCAACTGCACTGCAGGAGAAAGATGAGGCTTTTTGCGCCTGTGAAGATGTACAGCCTCGGAACCCCCAGCCAGGGTCGCTATGAGTCAGAACTGACTGGATGGCATGCTGCTGCAGCATCTGCTACTATAACCATTTGATTAGTAAGTTAATTCTTAAACATTTACCACACTCAGGTTTGCACAAAGCAAAGCACTGAACACACATATACTCCCTCATGAGTGCTCTGGTTCATCTATTTTCTATTTCAAAATGATTTCTTTAAATTGGGTGACTCTCCAGGATAAGCACTGACCCATAAGGTTGGTGGTTTGAGCTGCAGCAATCTTTGGGAGAAAGATGAGGCTCTGTGGTCTGGCAAAAAGATTTACAGCCTTGGAAACCCTATACAGGTCACTCTGAGTTGGAACCGTCTCCATGGCACTTAACAACAACAAAACGTTAAAAAGTGCATCAAAGCGTGCATTGCCTTTATAAGCATTCATCTAGGCCACTGGTATGGGAGAATTTCTAAAAGTGGAATTTCCCTTCTGCTTTGAACCCAACCTCTGTGACTGAATTCACCAGGGCATTTACACAAATGATTTACCATGGCCACCTCAGGCAGCTCTATCTCTTGATGCTTATTTTAGTATTTAAGGTGGAAAACAAATATAACCCCAACCTGTATACATGTGCTGGATTCTACCTTAAGGGACCCATGATCTTCATTATGCATAATATTATGAAGAATCCATTCAGCATCTATAGCAAATCTGTCTCAGGGCTTGTCAACTTTAGCAACCTTTCCCTGCCCCCACCCAATACCATTTTGCTGTTAGAATCCCAATCAGCTATGGAAAAGCTATGGGTTTTCATGGTCCTTGCTATAATTTTCAGTCATGTTTAATCAAGCTGTTTTCTTCTCTCATTTTCCATCACTTAACTATGTGACTTTTGCAATTCCACCAAAGGTTTGTTGTTGTTGTTGTTGTTAAGTGTCATCGAGTTAGTTCCAACTCTGTATAGGGTTTCCAAGGAACACTGGCCTTGTGGTTCAAACCAACCTTTTGGTCCAGTGCTTTAATCCACAGGGCCACACATTATTTTAATATCATCAGAAAATCTGGATATTGCTGTACAGCTAGAATTTCAGCTTGAATTATTACATTTATAATTTGCTTTTAATTTATCTCCTTTGGTATGTGTGCATATGTGTGTGTCTGCGTGGATGTATGTACATAACACTTATCTAATGTTAGCTTCCATCGAGTCAGCCACACACACATGACAAACCCATGTGTCAAAGAGTAGAACTGTTCCACAGAGTTTTCCTAACTGTAATCTTTATGGAAAGTTTGTCAGGTCTTTTCTTCTACAAAGTCCTTGGGTGCGTTTGAATTGCTAACATTTAGGTTAGCAGGCAGCTGTAAACTGCTTGTGCCACATAGGCTCTGGTATATTTATAACACTAGGCTGCCAAATCACAAAGCTCCTCAAAAACCTTAAGTCTTCCTGTACTTCTGAGTGTCAAGGTACAATAAGGAAGAAGGAAATGCATGGGACGTGCCTAACTCATTTCTTGATTCCTTACAATTTAGCCATGCTTTTCTTTTCTTCACAAATTTTCATTCTGAATTGAAATTATCCCTGAATTCAGTAGGACTTTTTCTGTTCCTAGAAAATGTACACCAAGAAATCTGACACCACCCTAAACAATACTAGTTCATTATTAAAGCTTTGCGAATCAGATATATAAATTTGTTGTCCATTTCTCCTCTGAAAGACTTGGAGCAACTGACCATTCCTCTTCTACCTCTCCTTTAACCTGAGGATTGCTTACTAAACATATGCCCTACTTCATTATAGCACGGTTCACAAAGAAGAAGAAAAATGACATCCTTCTAATGATTTGAACTCACAGGGCTTTGCAGGATCTGAGTAACTCGTTTCCTCTGCTCCATCATATTGAAGTCTTGTCGTAGATCAGGAGACATGTTCCTCTCCCTAATGTATTCTGGGTCATTTTCATTGATGCGGTCAAAATACCTCTCTTTGTGAGGCATACTGGGAGGAGGAGGAGTAGTTATCACGCCTTGGTTGGTATCTGAATTCATACTTCAGGTCTGTTAATTCCCTTTGTTATCTGTATTAAAGAACATTTAAAAGGAGGGCATTAATGAGAAATTCATTACTATATTCAAATGTAATTCAAATGTACATCAAGCAGAATTAACTTTGTCTTTTTTTTTTCTTTCCTTTTTACCCCCTCCAACTAACAGTAGCAATGTTCTTAAGCAGTTTCTAAAAAATAACCAAAAAAACAAAAAACCACACACACACACACAATTTTATTAAAATATCTTACATAACAATGCTAACTTGGAAACTGTCATTTTTAGAGCTCATGAAACTTGCGGTTCCATTATAATATCAACTGCCAATTCCATTTTTAAAGGGACCAGTGACTATAACACCCAAAAATAAGGCGCCACATCTAGATGGCAAATTCCTACAAATGGTGAGTGCTACCACTTGCCATTCTCCGCTCCTCCTACTTGTATACTAAACTGAACTGGTTCTGTGTAATGAGCATGACCATATTCTACAGTGAATACAATTTCTGACACATGAGAGAAACACAGCTTTTTATTTTTAAAATGATTCAACAACTTCCCCGGGAAAGCATAGAAATTATTAAGGTTGCCAGGCTATTTCTCTTTAACAGATGACACCTAACTCCAAGTAACAATAAAACAGCTCCTCCCCCATCCACAATGTTGGCATGTATTATACGATGAAGCTGTCAAGTCAGTGCTTCTCAAACTGTCTATAGTGAAGACTTTTCAATAGTTTTAATTTCTAATCACTGTTGATCAGTATTTCTATAAAATAACATGATCATGTACCTAGATATCATGACAACATCAAATTACAAGAAAAGTTCTTAAATGCTATCATATTCTGTACCTGTCACGGGCCACACAGTAAACAGCTCTACTAATTAAAGGCATGCTTCCCACCCCCGCGCCCCCGCTTTCTGCGGTGATATAGGTAAATGCTCTAACAATGGCAGATGTGCTGATGGCCATCATTTTCAGTTTACCTATAATTCTGGATAGAAATAGATGATCAACTCGTTGTATTGAGGCCCTAAGTCAGTTAGGTAAGCATTGTCCTGGTTATAATCTCACATTATAAAACAATACAGAGGTGAATGAAGAGATCACCTTTCTTCATTAACTGTAATCACATGTCCTGACTGTCCATTTAAAAGCTGCTGTTGTTGTTAAATGCAGTTAAGTGGGTTCTAACTCAATATCGACCCTGTAAGGGGTTTCCAAGGTGAGTATGAGCCCTCGACCTTGCGGTTCAAACCAACCTTGTGGTCCAGTGTACTATCCTGCAGTGTACTATCCTGCAGCACCACTTCAGGTAGTCTTAGTCAATTGAGCCTGAATAGTGTAGGGAGTGGACTCCTGGTTAAGCGCTGTAGGATCAGCACTAGACTGCGAACAAGATTCGTGGTTCCCTTGAAAACACTAGACAGAGTTGCTATGAATCAGAACCGGCTCAACGGCACTTAACAACAACAGCGTAGTGTGTTTTATGTTATGCTGCTAACCACAAGTTCATCAGTTCAAATCCACCAGATGCTCTGTGGGAGAAAGATGATGCTTTCGGCTCCCTTAAGGATTTGTAGTTTTGGAAACCTACACAGGGTTGCTATGAGTGGGAACTGACTCCATGGCATGTAACCACCACATTCACCAAGGCAAAAGCCTGAAGCAAGAGAAGGAATATCACTGATTTAGTGCATCCCTTCCCCTAGTTGTTCTTTTGATCTGGGTCCAGAAAATGCAGGAAGGGATGTCAACAAGGAAGAAGAAATGGGAACAAAATAAAAAACTGCAAAGGTGATTTTGCTTAAGCAAAATCTCTACAGGTGGTGACTTCAATTCAGACACAACTTGTTCAATATAAATGTCTGGGCAGCAGAAAAACCATTCAGACAAAATGGCACTAATTTCTTCGGCTGATATTTGTCTGACGGGAAGCCATAATTTCATAACAATATAAAGTTAAATGTAAAACATCCCAATGTTCATTTTACATTGATGTAGAAAACTAAGGATTCCTAGAGTGGCGCTGTAGAATAAGCACTGGTCGGTTTGAACTGCAAACTTGCTGAGTTGGAACCGAGTCGATGACACTTAACAACAAGAAGAAAACTAAGATGTGAAAGGGAAGTTTTTGTGGACCTGAAATTCTACAGATGCTTCAGTGCCTCAGAGTCTTGCAAAACATTTATCTAGAAGGATCCAAAAGGTAATAATAAGCAAAGGTGACCTTCTCCTTAGCAACCTGATTCCCTGAAAATGCCCACAGATATCAGTGTCATCTTTGAAACGCAGTACCAACCAGCGAGGCTACCGTCTGTGGTTGTCTCAATAGTTTTGTAAGAATCATCTCTAAAACTGCTTTGACCCAACTTACTGCTGTTGCTGTTGAGTGCTGTCAAGTCAGGTCTGATTCATAGCATTTCCAAGGCCTCCTGGTGGATTGGAACCACCAACCTTGTGGTTAAAAGTCCAGAGCAGATCCTACAGTGCCACACCAGGACTCCAATTTAGCTCATGCAAATTAAGTTGTTGTTAAGCACCTTTGAATCAGACTAGTTTTCAAGAAGCAGCTGATAGGTTTGAATTGCTGACCTTGTCCTTAGCAGTCCAGAGCTTATTCTATAGTACCACTAACTAAGTATGATGCACTAAATATTCTTATGTTAATTCGGATTCTAAAAATGTGAAGTCACTGTATTAAGTAATTTCTGCAAAACATGTTAAAACTCAGTTTTATTTTACTTGTGAACATCAGTCTCATTTACAATATTCTGTAGTTACCAAAATTGTTTTGGTACACAACATAAAAAAAATTCATGAAATATGATTTGATGTCACTAGGGAGATATACACACCTTAGAATAATCTCCAATTTGAGATCAAAAGGAGAGCATTTACCCAAGGACAAATTTCAGACGGGTTAGGAGATAGGGAGGAATGGGAACAGGAAACATAGGGATGAAGTGGGGGAAGTGAGGCTAGACTGTGGGGCCCTCAATCAATGACATGAAACACTAAATGCATATGAACTACAGGCAGTTTAAAAAAACAAAAATCAACTAACTGAAAAATCATACTACTACCACTTCAGCACTGGACTGCTAATCACAAGGCTGGCAGTTCAAACCTACCAGCTGCTCCTCGGAAACCCTATACAGGGGTTACTATGAGTTGGAGTTGACTCAATGGCACATAAGGACAACACATATTTTTCTGAAATTTGGATTTTATGACTGTAAAGAAACTGATCAGTGAGAAGGGAATATAAAAACTGATCTTTTATATAACCTAGTCTTCTACATCTGAACTCATTAATAAGAAAACTGGGCAGAAAAAGGCATTTAACTCAATAGTAAATATCTGATCATAAACTGCGGGCACTCCTTTCCACATCTACTAATGAAACGACCCTGACTTTCTTACAGTCTTCAAAAGTCAGGTTTTACTGTACTATTATCAGTGTGGCATACCTACTTATGGTATCTATCATCTTACTATTATTATTCATATCAGATATCTAGAGATCCGACTAATCTCTGGAACCTAATTTTCTTCGAAACTTTATAATAGATCTACCTGAGCCCCTTAAAACAGTCTATTGCTAACAGAAATTGCAAAGAGAGTTAGTTTGAAAAAAACAGAAAACAAAAAAACTACCTTATGTATATTTAGTAAATGCCATGCTGACTTTTAATGACCAAGTACTAAGTGGGCTTTCAATTAACAATCTGACCATCATTTAACAAAGAAATGAATTGTTTTAGCTTTACACAGTAGGCCACTAACTTCTTAAGCCATATTTCTGAAGACAGTCCATAAAAGCTATCTTTAATTAGATGATTCCTAGACCTCAATCCTAAAAGCACTATTTAATCAACCAGAGAGAACAGTTACATATAAGCTTGTGTTGCACTAAATTTGCTGATGTTTACAAGTTATTAAAACACAGTAAAAAGTACAAAACTGTGGTGGTAGGTTCAGGTCATGGTCCTAGCACTGGTTTAAGGAACTGTTAAGTGAAACACTGGTAGGTAGAAAGTTAAAGTTGGAAGTAATGCTTGATGATGAATACATCTTTAGATGAGTAAGGTAAAGTGGAGGTTAAATAAGAAATCAAGATACTCATTTTAATAGTAGTATAAACTCACTGCCATCAAGTCAATTCCAGCTCACAGAGACCCTACAGGACAGAGGAGAACTGATCCCTACGGTTTCCAAGGCTATAGATCTTTGCAGGAGCATCCAGCCTCATGTTTCTCCCACACAACATACACACAGACAGACAGACACAAGCATATATAAAACACTACATACTTCATACCATGCTTTTACATCTTCATCTTATCTTTGCAATTGCATAATGCGAGAGAGACTGGTATACTGGAGGTTCATGGATTAAACTGGAGGTTCATGGATGAAACATTCCACTAAAAACCACACTGTTTGTGACACAGGCAATATTCAAAGCCACGATGTCTGCTTCCTAGTCCACTTTACAATGATACTTAGGTTATTTCACATATAAAACAGAGCTAGAAAATCTTAAGACTTTTAATCTAAATTCTGTCCTGAATTTTAAACTATTGGAGCCTACTGAATCTGACAGAAAATGAGTAAAGTCTATTGAATCTGACATGAGAAAGGGAAAATAAGATAATAAATGCTTCAAATCATTGTCCTTTTAAAAACTTGAAAAGTATATTTTAAAATTTTCCTTCTATGTAAATGTTTTAAGCAAAACGCTATATGGTGCAGAGTAATGGACTGGGGATAAAGAGACCAGGATTCTAGTCTTGGCATTTTCACCAGTTGTGTAGAACATTCATTCAGTCAACAACTGTGTGAGTATCTACTATGTGTCAAGTTTCTATATTGGGAATAATGCCTACGAACAAGGTAGATATGTCTTTCTGAGGCATACAAAGTCTACTGAGGAATACAAAGAAGTATAGGCAATTACACTGTAAAGGTGCCCCAACCATCTGTAAAACAAATGAATTGTCTCAAAGACCCTTTAGGTTTT